TGCTTCTAGAAACAATCCAAACACAAAAAGAATCATTCAGCTATTTTCTGACAGCACATAAATGTATTATTTACTTGCTTGGAAAACAAGCCATTTCAAAAGCGTGTTGACGCTGACATTTTGCAATCAGCAGGAGGAAAACAGTTAGCTCGAGGTGATGACTTGGCCTACAAATTCTCTGGTTTTAGATCCAATTGAGCATATATGATGTGTGTTGGAGAAAAGGGTCCAAGTCCTGGAGCTCCACCACACCACTTCCAGAACTTTAAAAAAATCTTCAAACATCTCATTGCCAGATATTGCTGCAAATGTTCAGAGATCTATCAGAATCCATGTGTTGATGCATCAGAGCTGCTTTCAAAGCAAAATGAAGACCAACTCTCCATTAGGCAGTTTGTTATACTTCACATATAACAAACTTGTGCTTTAGAAAACCTGTTTGGTGTGTAAACATAATGTCCAAATACTGTGGTTCCCAACATGTGGGGTGTGCCCCTGAGAGGGGGCGCAGTGCCATTGCAGGGGGGGCACAGGAAGCGGTATGGATGAATGAAAATAAAATTACAGAAAAGAGTTTCATTGTAAAGATGGTTTGTAGTGTGTTTTGTTACAACCTGAAATGTGAAATAAACTTCAGCAAAGTTTGAAAACAAAATATATGTTTAGGTTCATGTCTGGTTGAATGACATGTGTGCCCAGTAGATATTTTTTCTTTCTATTTTGGGGGGATTTTATGCCCAAGATGCCCATAGGGGGGCCTAGGGCATCTTTGGGAACCACTGCCCTAATGCATCATTCATGTCCAAGACAGTGAATGTCAGTCAGCCCTTGCATTTGTTTCAAACATTTGTTTATGTTTTCCTTTATATTTCCATTAATAGTGACTTGGTGAAGTCATCTCAGATTGCCTTTACTGCTACTAACATTCAAAACATTCCTCTAAAGATAGTGCATGAATCATATTTTGCCTAATTTTTCATTTTGCCCAGCCTTTTATTTTTTATGCCACTTAAAGCAAAAGTGAAAGCCCATTAGCATTCATTGGGAAGGAAAAATATGTTAATGGCATTTTAATGGTCCAAATGCAAACCTCCTCTGTCATCACTTACCCTGTCCTCTGTCTGTGTTTTCATCTGTCCTCTTGTTTCTCTGTGCATAAGCTGTTCGTAGGCTGCAGACTGGGGCAGTGAATATGTAGCCTTCAGGCAGTAACAGCCCGAAAATATGAGGACTTAAAAAACAGACTTATCAGATTACATCACATCTCCTCTGCTTTCCCACCCCAGAGTGTCAGTGAACTAATGCCGTTTGTGTGCATGTGGATGTGCATGCGTTTTAACAAGACCTTCTCTGAAACACATAAATGTCCTCATGTATAAAGGAAATTATATACAACTACTATTCCAACAAATAACTTTCTCATAACTGTGTGTAGTTCTGTGTTTTTGCTGCAAAACCATATTTTTTCCAAATCAGGTGATGTTGACAAAGCATTTTGTTGTCAGTGCACACCTGAAACAGTCTGATTACCAACACTGGATTAAAATATGCATCTGTCTGTATAGTGTAAATATGCAAACATCTTGCCTTATTTACTGCTTTGTCTTTTTATTTTCGCATACAAATGAAAAGAAAAGAAAATCCAAAATACCAACTTGCATCTTTATTTTCAGTTGTGACTTTGCAGTGATAATGAAGCTAAATATTAGATAAGAAATATGTACTGATGGATGTAACTGATGGACTAGTGACGTGTCCAGGATGTGTCCTGGCTTCCACCCAGCATCCGCTGGAGATGGGCACCACCTCCCCTGCCACCTCTGATATTGACAGCTGGTGGATGGATGGATGATGGATGATGGATGGAAGCATGCATTTTAATCTGAAGTGTCAATCAAGCGAGGCAGGATGTGCACTGACAGCTACATGCTCTCAGGATATATTAGAGACAAAGTTTGGTGTGGACCACATACAAATGAAGAATTGTAATTTTCCAGTCAGACCTACTATACACACCACTAACCCAACCCTAACCCATAGGGCAGTTGTTGAGATCACAGCGATAACAGAATAGTTTGTGTTTTAAAAATGATGTTTTCCGACATGTATCCCACAAACGGTCCTGGACTTCTACATTACTTGTACACAAAAAGGTGTTTTGGTCAATAATTCAAAACTTATGAGCAAAATGTCAGACATTATTTTAATTAAATGATGTGTAGCTGTTTCAGCAAAATGTTGAAGTTTCACAATCTAAACCAGTACAAGATGCCGATGTTCTCCACCAAGGACTTTGACAAACTTCTCCAGACAGTCAAAGTGATAGAAATGAACATTCACTGAGTTGAAGTACATGTAGAGGACAACACTGAATATGGGAATAAGACAACCTTACCAAAACATGGAAGGGTCTGACACACAGCACCGCAGGAAACTTCCCTGAAAATAAACCCCATCCTTCAGATCTTGGAAAACATTTAACAGGTGAAACAACCCGACCAGCACAGGAACACGGAAAAAGCAGCCATAACAAGAGACATCAAAGGTAAATCACAAGAATTTCACTGCACAAGTCCATTGCACCTCAACAAGAATCTATGAATGACTCATCAACTTCAAACACCAAATGCCTTTCTATTGAGATGTGCTATACAAATAAATTTGACTTCAGCTCACGTTGGCCCTTCTTGCTATTTTGGCTATTCTAATCTAAAAACTGTTTTCTTCACAAATAAAAAAATGTCATATTCTGAACCTGTTTTCATTGAAATTTTTGCTGACAGAATGCTGTTCTTCTGAAAAATGTCTGGAAACATCAAATTTACAAATATTTTTATAGAGGACTGCAGATTTACTAACAGAGAATTTGCTGGGCTGCTGGTATCTAGAAAAGGGTTAAATTTGTTTTGTATTTATATTCTTATTACATTTACTGTGTACCTTGTATTTAATTTGTATTTTTTTGTATTCTTTTACATATGCTTACTGTGTGCCACTTTTTACCTGTAAGCTACTGGTAACTTTAATTTCCTGAGGGAGTCTTCCCAAGGGATCAATAAAGTACAAGTCTAAGCCTAAGTCTAAATAGTTGCCAATATCCATATTATCCAGATAAAACCGCTGTTTGGACACCTACTTAGAATCCACAATTATTAATCAGAATTGATCACAAAATACTAAATATTTTTTTTACTAAAGTACCATGGCAGAATTTGTGATTTTTTAAATAATTAGCTGGAATTTTTTGGACAATATATCAATATTGTCAAGCAACCTTCATGTTATTTGAACCTGAATTAGTTTCTCTTCAAAAGAGCTCTGAAGAGATGTTTTATACCTCTTTGAAAGAGCAAAAAAAGAGAATTAGTTACATAAGTGTTGTGAGTGACATATTAATAAAGTAAAACTTGCATTTTACTTTGACTCAAACAAAAAGTTTTTTTTTAAAAAAACTGGCTGACAAAGAAGGGAGACTGGAAACCTAAAATAAAAAGCACCAGTGGAAGATTTATTTGGGAAATGACGGTCTGTTCCAGTTTGATTGTTCTTAACTACGCATTTATCTATCCATGCAAATGTAATCATTTCTCAGCTAGGGACAATCCTACAATCCAGATAAGAATTCATTCTTATAGAAGCATCTCTCCAGTTTAGTCGAGCAAAGCCGTTTCAATGTGCTCCAACTTCATTGTTTCTTTACTTGAAGTTAGTAATGTCTTTCTGTCTTCAGAACGACTTTTATGTGGGTTTATGAATTTGCCTACTTGAGTGTCTGCTTGCTGCTGCCAACGAACATCCAGATTATTACATGACATTACGTGCAGTAAGAAATGAAAAGAATTGAGGCAAATCTTACAGATTCAAAAAGACAAGACATACTGGAGCTCTCAAAAGTATAAAGAACACTTTTCAGAGTCGAACTGGAACTGTCAAATACCAGCTTACAGTGAAAATAATGATATCCTTATATTATTTCCTTTATTTAACCAAGTAAATGTAACCGGTTGAGATTTGGATCTCATTTTCAAGAGGGACCTTGAAGTTAAATATAACTTCCAACTGTCCTATGAGCCATTAAGTTGCCAAAACAATTTGCCCATCAATTTACATCATTTAAATTGCTTGTCCAGCCAGTTCCATGGTCACAAGTTTATAACTTGCTTTGACAAACAGGTGAACAATGAGTCTCTCTGAAGTGGTCAGTAAATTTCAAAGTGAATTTGATCAGTCAGTCTCATTCAACATCAGTGTCTGACCTCATGACTGTGCTGCTTGAGCAATAGTTTAAAAAAAACAAACAAACAAGAAAACACTGTTTGTAAAGCCAACACAGGAAGTGTAAAACTGGTGTTACTGTAAATGACAGGCTGATGTAACACCAAAAACTCAAAGGTTTTGATAAACACATACTAATAAAGAGATCACTTATGATCTCTTCTCACCTGAGAAAAGGTCACAGGTGAGGATGATTACCTTCAGGACTCGTTGGAACTCATGTTTTAAACTAAGCTTGAACAATAATTTTTGGGATACAAGAGACAAAATATGGCCTATATTTGTCTCTCAATTATCAAAAATGAAACCCAATCATCACTTGCTCCTTTGCACCAAGGTGGGCAACTCCAGGCCTGGAGGGCTGGTCTCCTGCAACTTTTAGATGCGTTTCCACTTCAACACACCTGAGTCAAATAATGAGGTCATTAGCAGGACTCTGGAGAGCCTGACTGCACTTAGGAGGTGATTCAGCTATTAGATTCAAGTATGTTGGACCAAGGAGTGATCTAAAAGTTGTAGAACACCGGCTCTCGAGGACCAGGATTGCCCACCCCTGCTTTGTACAGAAAACTGAATATAGAGTTTGAGAAAACACTCCTTAATACTTTATTTTAGAATCATTAGTCAAATTTGCCTTTGTCTCATCAACATTCAGATTGCTCTTTTTTAACAAGTTTTATTCGCCATACGTGTGTTGTCTGACTGTGAGGACAATACAAACTTACTTTTGGAGAGCATCTATCTTGTCAGCTTTAATTCCTCTGAGCAGCTCTTCAAGCAGGTCCAAGCTTTCAGGTGAAGGAGCAGTTGGACGTTTCGAAGAACTGTGGATGAACCAGCCAACGAGGATTCCAAGGACAAAAATTCCCACCCCGACAAGGAAGTATCTATGGACAAAATCAGAGAAAGGTTTCAGTGTAGAACGGCAAAGAGGAACAGGAAACTGTTTCAGGTTAGCTGACATGATACAAATGATAAGACCAAGAGAAAAGAAGACGAAACTCTAATCAGAGTATAATAATACTGAGATAAATAGTCTTTCAAATGGGATTGTAATGAATGCATTATCTGGAGTCAGGGTATGCATTTAGAAAAGTCATACTGCATGCAGAAAAGTGAGCATTGTACTTCTAATATTGGAGGTGATATAGACTTAACATCTGCTGACATCTGAATTGAAGATGTTATCTAAGAATTATTAATGCAATGCATTGTTGCACTGCTCCTGTTAAGTGTTATACTGAAAATATAATCCAGAATTCTCTTTTCAGAGAATAGAGAATTCTTTTTCATTTTCATTGTAAATGGAAAAGTTTTGCTTCACAGTGAAGAAAAAAAGCCTAAGATTCCTTTCATAAGACGTTGCAAATTTCCCAGCTTGGTCAAAACTTACAAACAGCCAGATGAACACAAAAAACAGCACAAACAAAACAAGAACCAGAAACAGGAGGAGCACAGAATGAGGAACCAGCAAGGAGTGAACAAGAGGGGGGATTAAATACTGGGAGTGTGGATGCTGGAACAAAGACTGGACTAATTGACTAACAGGTAGCAGGTGTGAGGGGAGAGAGCACTAAAGAATATGGCATACGGGTGAAGGAGAGTACAGCAGTAGAATTAAGAGTAAAAGCATATAACGAGATACAAGGAATAAACAAACAAAATAAACTAGGATCACTACAAACTAAACTAAAGTGAGACGGAAACGAGACTGATCTGACTAAAGCAAGAAACTAAGGAATACACAGCAATAACCAAACCTCAAAACTATGTAAACAACCCAGGATCCTGACAGATTGTTATTTAGGCCTACTAAACAGATTGAAAATATTCTATAAATAGCTAAATTATTTGCATAAATCTTGTATTAACCTGAAAAGCTGTTACATGAGATGATGTAACAGCACAGCTGTTCTGTAATTACCTGAGTATGAAACAGTGAAGTCGCCTTTGACCTTTGTGGCCAGTCGTCCTGGTGAAGTGAGAGATGTAGTTGGGATCCTCTTGGAGTCTTTCAAAGCGTCCATGAGGTGAAACTGAGACAGAATTCTGGATGGGTTCCATGAACTCAGGGTCAGGGTCAGGGTCAGGATCAGGGGCTGAACAGCCTAGAGGTCACAGTTCACAAAATGTTTTTGCTGTTTTTTTTTCTGTTGTTTTTTATTTTTTTATGTTAAGATTTCCATTTCCAAATAAACGGAAAAGAAAAGAAACAAAAACAGAAAAACAAAAAAGAACAATAAGTCAGATACTGTCATTCAGGCATGTTGGATTATTGCCAATCAGTTGGCCAAGTACTTATTCACACAGGGATAATTTAAAAAAATGTGCACAGAAATATACAGTTCCTAGCTCAGGATAATGTTTGAAGGACTGAGGAAAATAAATCATGTTGGGTTCAATCAATCCTGACAAGTATTTAAACAAAGACACTGACTGAAAAAAAAAGAATAACAAATTAAAATAAAATTTGCATTTAGTTCAGACAAATAAATAATAGTCCATTAATTATAGTAAAAAAAATAGTTGTAGTAAATTTAATAATTTTAAATTTCTTCTAAATCCTCTTGCAACTGTTGTAGCTTTTGTCAGAGAGGGGAAAAAAAGTTTAAGTGACTCATTATTGTTTGTTTTGAGTTCCTGATACATATTTTCAGAAAATATTTCCCTTTGCCTAATCAAAAGCATGTGGGATCTCTGCTACAGCTCTGTACCAACGGCAACACAAAACTGAATCATATTTGCATTATATAAAATCATGAATCTTACTCATCAATGGGTGATGCATATTGCATGAGGTTCAGTCCAGCCTTATTACACTGCTCAACAGCAAATAGTAGAGCACAGAAAATAACTTAGGTTTGGTGAATTATGATGATTATTTCATTTAATAATTGTCTGACAATGTGCACTTTGTGAATTCTCAGTGCACTGAAAGGTTTTTATAAATGATTCATACACTCGGTTTTATTAATCTGACTTCACTTGGAACATTTATTAACCAACTGTGAGCTGAAAGATTCACAACAACTTAGCCTGATTAGGCAACAAACCATAGTTATAACAGAGAGATGGCAGTAATGTCTGACCTGATCTCTGGCAGTCGCCATGCTGCATCTGCGTACGCTCGCTGCTTGGTCCTGCTTCCTGCAGCTCCTCCTTGTCCAGGTCCCAGTCGAGTTCCAGAGATCCAGAGCAGCGCAGAACTTCTCCATCCAGTGGCCCCGCCTGGGCATCACACACCTTCCTGTAAGCCATGAAGTCACCTGGAGCATAAAGATACAAAAACAGACGTCTGTTTTAGCATTTCTAGAAACATGCTATAGTCACACTGCAGGCTTTGGTGCTCAATTAATTTTTTTTGTTTATTTGGACTCATTTTGCATGGTCATTTACATTTCCAATAACATATCTCCTGAGCGAACTGCAAAAGACCTCAAAGTGTCTTGCATGCACATTAGAGGGCGCAATAACGTCACACGTAGCAAGTGCGCTCAGTGGAAGTAAATGCTAATGGTGGACCATATTGTGGAATTTTAAAGTTGATGCCCAACCAGAGCTAGCATATTAACAACTTAATCAACGTGATCTGCCATGGTTGTTGTTTTTCCTTCTGCTTCTGTGTATTAGGTGCAGAACAGTCAACTTTGTCAAGTTTCAATGATGTTCAGGTCAGATGAAGATAACCTGGCCGTACAGACACAGGTCACATTAGAGGTCACATTAGAAGAGATCAGATATCATATATCCAAGCGGCTTAAGCCACATTTGTAAAAATCGGATCTGTGTTGTTCAGACTGTCATGTAAACATCAGATACAGGTCACATTAAAGCAAAAATATTGGATTTGGCTAACTTCAAGCTGCAGTGTGAATATAGTTATAGACAGTACCTCGCAGGTGGAGCAACAGAAAGGTGTAACCGGTTGCCAAAACTATATACTTATTTATTTTCATATGGAGATCCAGCTGAGTGCCATCTCATTATTGACCCATATGATGTAACATGAAGTCAGCCCAGTTTTTTTAGCTGCAACAGCTTCAACAAAGGGACCACGCCCACCTATTTAGAAACACACAAATAAAAATTCCATAATATTTTCTTCACCATCTTTTACACTTAACATAATGTATTCAAGCAAGTTCCATTTCCCTGACAACCGTCAAACTCTCCTCTGTTGGACTGTCAGAGCTTTGCTGCCAGAGAACCCAAGTCCACTGTTCTATAACCCAATGGTGGTGTGCTGTACAGTACTGCATTCAAAGCTCTGCATTGCTCTCCATGATGCAAGGCTTGCATGCAGCTGTTCAGCCATGAAGCTCCCTACACACTGTATTGACTGTGCACAAAGTCGACATCCTGAGTGCACTGGGCAACGCAGCATCTCCTGATACTTCTTGGGATTTTTCGTGGTCGTGTTGCCGTCATTGCTCTCCTTCCCAGTTGTTCCCTCTCATGAAACGAAACTATATTTACCAATGTATTACTGGAAATATATTGTACTGTTGTATTTTTCCAATATGTTTTCTTGTATATAATAGGTTCTAAATCCATTGAATTATATATATGATGGATGTATTATACAACATATTATATGTTCATCTTCCAATATATTTCAAAATATACAGATATTTACAACTTTCCATACATTGCAATATATTAAATATGACTACATGTTTATGTATCCCAAATATAAAAAAAATTATATTCATTACTATCTACCATCATTTATTACAGTTTATATGGGAAAATGTTTATATAAATATATATATATATATATATATATATATATATATATATATATATATATTATATATATATTATATTATATATATATATATATATATATATATATATATATATATATATATATATATATATTATATATATATATATATATATATATATATATATATATATATATATATATGTGGACATGGACATTAATATTTCTGGGAACACAAAGTAAATAAGGATTCTGAAAACGAACTAAAATCTGGACAATCTAACCTAAAATAAGTTGCCCTTACATGTACTTGTGTTTGGCTAAAAGATGCAGATAATTACTTAGAAAAGTGTCAGACATCAAGGAAAGTCCTGTTTGTGTTTTGACCCCAGCTACTGGGTCATTCAGGTTTTTGTTGAAGCTTTCCATGACTGACATATACAAAGACAATTTGTGGCTCTGCCAGGACTGAGCTGCATAAAACCTTCCAGCAAATGTCTTACTATGTCTTTAAGCTTAATTGTGCTTTTCACGTCATCGTCGTAAAGCAGACTATAAAAGGGCAATTATATTCACTAAATATAAAACACAGTGGCGTAAAGAAAAGCTGCTTCTGATATTTAAACTTAAAGAGACTGGCTATGTAATTTTCACTCCGGCACAGATAGATTAACACCGATGTTCTTGTTATGAACATTTCTTTCTACTTAAGTGAGGCTTTGTTGAATTAAAACAAACACAAAACTGCACATCAACTGTGATTGATACCAATTTCAGTTTAGGTTTGAAGATGTGCAGCTGCTAAATCACTCCCATATCTGGGAGGAAGAACTGAAAAAGCAAAGGTAAAAATCCTGTAAAGAAGAGTGGACAGAGTAAGGTAAGGAGAAAAACACACATCATGAAAGACAAAGACAAAGCAAACAGATGAAAACAGGAAAGCAGAAGAGACAAGGCAGAGAGTTTATAGATGAATGAGAGAGGGTAAAACACAGAGAGAGGAGGTCTGGGAGTTCCATGGCATCAATCTTCAATGCTCCACCACACTTTCATTACTTCTAGCTCAATGCAGATGAAGGCTCCTCGCACTAAAATGGAACAAAAGTTCAGTGCAGCACTGACCTCCTGTTACAAGCCCCACACAGTGCAGATAGCATCACTTTTTTCTTCTCACAACCTGGGAGAAAAAAGCCTGTTAAAATGTTTTTACCATTATTGTCTACACATGTACGTTGGCTTTGCAAGAGTTCACCATTTTCCAATTCTTATAACTACTGTTAAATAAACAGCTGAAACTATAAAGTGTGCATTTCCTATAAAAATGCAAGAATGAATGCTGAATGATCGATGCTGAATGCCTTTGCTGAAAATGGCGAAAGCATTTGAACCCAACTTCTGAAGACTTGCAGAAAGGTGAGAAATAGTCCATGGAGTGTGGAAAAACCCAGGTAAAAGACAAACTTAATGAAAGCTAAAAGTAGCTAAAATACTAATGATAGAACTAGGATACCACTACCATGCTGGGTTACAGTAATTCCATGCAATGTAAAGGAAAAGAATAATGTAAAACCTAAAATTTGAAAAGGACAGAAACATTCCCTGATTACTTCTGATTTTATCTCTGTTAGCTTCCAATAGAATGACAAGGTGTGAAGCCTATCTACTTACCTCCAATTCATAAAGTGCCATCACACCAACATGCTGATTTTACAGTCAAAGACATTTCCCTGATAAAGGCAGACAGACAAAGCATGAAAGTGGGGGAATATGTACCTCAGCCATTTAATTTGACACATCCTCCTCAGCTGCTTTAGTTATGGAATATGAAGTGTGCTGTCAATCACGACTCTCCAACACCGAGGCACCAGCAGGGGCAACGGAGCACCAAAAATTATTCAAGTTTCCTCATGAATTAAACATGAAAACAACCTAAAAAAGCCACTTACTGTATAGATTTTCACATCATGGAGAAAACCTAAACAGATTAAATAGTAATCCTGACTGCCTCATGTGTTTCACAGCAGAAATATTTAATAATATGAGTAACAGTAAAAAAAATATTAATGATAAATGAAAAGCCACACGGGCTAATTTGGGTAGCACACTGTTATATAATGGCATGTAAAGTGTATCCATGGAGATTCTACATTTTGTGCTTGCTGGTTACAGTCAAGTGCTAGTGGGAAGTCAGGCAGGCTTGTCTTAAGTAAATAATTGTGGAAGTGCAAATGTATTCTATGAAGCATATGATGTCTTGATATTTTTACTGAAGGTTAAATTCTCATCAACTTGTGGAAAAACAAGTAAACTGGATAAACCATCTGTTCCTGCTCCTGTTTGATTCTTTATTCATTCTCCAGTATGGACATTCAGCACAGTCCATCAAAAACTGCATTACCCAGAAGTCCACAGGCTATGCAGTCATTACAGCCTAAGGTCATACCTACTTACCTACCAACAAATGTGACATAAAATGCATACATGCTAAATCATTCAAAATATAAAAATACAAACTGATAGGCCAACTAACTGATAAAGGGAAAGTTTAGAGGCTTTTCTGTGTGAGAGCTGCCATAGTTCCTTAAAGGGGCAGAGTTTTGTGTTTTCCAGCCACATATTTATTTTACAGCTCATTTGTCTTGAAAGAAAAAACTGTATATATCAAACATTACTTAAAATATACTTGATTTCATAATCCAACACATTGAAATTGGGCCTCTGTTTCATTAAGAAATTCTTGCTGTTTCTTACACTTCTCTCAGATAAGAGCAATCTAAAAAGGCCAATCAAGTCATATTCTTTTTATCAAAACATTTGTTGAAAAGAAATGGAGCGATTCTCTAAAAGACATTTAAAACACTGAAACAGGAACTCTTTTGCTTCACCAAAGCATCAACTGCCACAGTGTATGGCAGATGGGTTAAAAACACTATTATTTTTTGGTAGACTGTAAAAATTCAGACAAGGTATTTTAATTCAAGTACTGAGCTGGGAAGAGGACACACTTTATGTTCCAGTTGTTAATTATTCCAAAAAGTGGGGAAAAAGAAATTGTTCAGACTCTGTTTTAGCAGACATTAAATACACTGAAAGGGCTGCAACCACAGCATCAACATCTGCATGTTGTCATGTAGCTTTGAGAGTCTGTTACAGGCTGCAGGGCCATCAGAGTAAAAACCTTTATTTTTATAGTCCTCATGAATTAAAGATGGCTCTCCCTAGGGTGTTGAAGGAAAGCAGGAGCTTTATGGATCTCTCTTTTTCTCCTTCGCATGAAATCTCCTGAATACCACAGGCCATGTCTGAGGATGTTATACATGGAAAACAATAACAGGCAAACAGTCTTATCTAGCTGTTGTTTTATTTTTTACTCCTCCCTCTCAATGCCAGTTTTCTTTATCACCCCCCCTTCTCCCTCTCCGTCTGTTCCTGCCCCTGCTCCCATTCTTGCTACATTCACGCTGGAGGTTCAAGCCAGTCCATTAAAAACTGCATTACCCAGAAGTCAACAGGTTATGTACCCCATTACAGCTGAAGGTC